TAAGCATTCGAAGATTTAATTTGCTAACTTCGAATTCGTTCCACCAAAATGAGCTACATGATTAAAATACAAGTTCAGTTAAATTTTCGTTTTTCGAATTATTAAAAATTAGAAACTAGAAATCGACGAAAATTAATAAAAAAAGTGTAAAAATTTCGTGAAATTATTTAATTTATTTTTTTTTAATTCTTTTGTAAAATTTTGTATTACTTTTGAAAGTTGAGTGCATCTTTAACCGTTAATTTTTTCATGATTTAATGATCGGATCTAAACCAAATTACGAGACGACCCTTAAGGTACCACCTTTCCGGTAAAAAAAAAAGATTATTGGAATCGGTTCACGCGGTGCAAAGTTATGCGGTGGAATAAATAAAAGAAGTAAAAACACTCCGCAGAATTGATAACCTCCCCTTTTTTGAAGCCGGTTGAAAAAGTCTGAGTTCTTTGTAAATTTTATGTAAATTTTATGTAAATAAATTGAAATTGATGATACTTTAAAAAGTTTATTTATTAATTTCATACTGTAAATAAAACTTTCATAAATGTATTTTAAAGAGCGAATTTTCAGTATTTGCTGATGATATATATTTAGAAGTATAAACCCTTTCCCTCCAAAAATATATTCCTGCGTGCGCCCCTGGCACTTAGTATTTATTATTTGTAAAAAATATATTTTTACTTTCAAAATGTTTGTAATTTTAAACATTTCATGTGTATATTTTAAACAACTCATGTTCAAAATCAAATCTTGAACATCTTGTGCGCATACTTGAACAGATTCTGGTTGAAAAATAAACACTTTTCAGTAGTAGTTTTACATGCACTTTTTAGAGTGTGGTGGAGGTAATGCTCGGATGATATGCGATGGCAGCCTGTTGAAAAGGGGAGCTGCATTTATGTTTGTACATTTCTTCACTGTGTATCGCTGGTGTCGGCCAACCACACTGCGTAGTTTGCCACTGACCGGCCGATTGCTCTGTATGTGGTGAGTAGGGTTTCTTTGTCGGCTCGCCAAGTGCTGCCGGCTATGGACTTGAGGACTTTGTTCCTAGCTCGCATTTTTCGCAGGCGGCTAAGGCGTGCACTGAAAGGAGAATAGTCTGTCGACCTTTGGGATGGTTTCAGTTGCAGCCTAACCTCCTTAGTCCATGTGGTGAACAGTGCGGCGGTGGATTTCAGGGCGGAGATGGTGAAGCTCCTGGCAGTGAAGAAGTTTGCAAGATCGGTGAGATACTCATTGATTTTCCCGCAAAGGCTGTCGATATTGGGACCGCGACTAGGACTGTCCTATCACAGGGACGACGTCGGTTCTGTGTGCTATATGCATTTTTCGGCATCCATGTGTTCGGCTGGTTTCAAATATTTCGGCAGGCTGGGGAGGAGTAGTGCTTCCATTGTCTTTGCCACTGGGGACAAGAGGGAGATTGGCCGGTAAGAGTCCCCTGTGTTCACCTTCTTCCCTGGCTTAACGAGGGGAATGATGCTACCCGTTTTCCACATCTCGGGGATGATCGTCGTTATGGTATTTCCAAATGTAAGGGCAACGTTTTCCTTACGTTTCGTCGGATGTTAGGGATTTTACTGTCGTCCACAGTTTACTGACTCCGCTGGAGAGATTGTAGTTTTCCAGATGCTCGTTCCACGTTTTCCGCTTGTGTTTGATTACCAGTTTACTAATGTCCTTGTTGAAATCCCTGATGTGGGTATCACCAGGATTAGATTGGCGGATTGGATCACGCACGTCTGCGAGTCCCGCCGCTTCTGCTGGGAAGCCCGGACGGAATTTGGCGATCCTGTCGGCTGGTGTGATGCGGGCGGCTGCTACGTTGAAGATCCGGCGGATGTTGCCCTCAGCTTGGCGCGCGCATGTTGGTGGTGGAAGAGTGTTGAATTTGCGGTTTGTGTGTACCGTAAAACCGTCCTAGTTAGTCTTCATTGTGTTCATGGACGTACGGTTTTCGGATGTAACAAAATCTATTGGGTGGTCTATCGCGACTACTATGAGCCGGTATTGGACCGCGTTATGCAAAATAAAGGCGATGCCGCATCCAGCGCGCCGAGGGCGATCTCTTCGGATGACGTTGAACTCGTCCTGACTCTGAAGGCTTGAGCCACAGTGGAGGTTTTGTTTCCTGGACCGCCGCGACTGAGATTTCATTGCGCCTCATGGAGCTGACTATCTCAGCGATCTTGCTTTAAAGTTCGTAGCAATTGAACTTCAATAGTTTTATTGAGCTGGTCCTGGTGACGTTTATGCGTGGAGTGGGGGAGTACTGGCGCGCTGCCTGAACTGCTTGCTGTGTTGATTGCGGATGTGGTGGTCTTACCGCTGGTGTTGGCGTTGGTGTGGGTGTGTACGTGGGCCGCGGTTGCGGGGTTTTCGCTGGCGTTGACGTTGGCACTGGTGCAGGTTCAGGCATTGGGAATTGTAAGGGGGCGGAGCCGCAGTATGCAGTAAAAGCGGTACTCCCCTCGCGATGGTGCATGAGGCTGGAGCAGCGCTTCAGGTGCCACCAATTGTTGCATGCGTTGCATCTTACTTATGTAGTATTACGCCTCACCAGGTTCGTGCAGGCGCTACAGAATCATCTGCTTTGGGTGGATGTCCGGCGTTGCGTACTGGGAGTTGGTCCACTAGCTGATGGTTGGACGGACGTTGTTATGTGGAGTGTTGATGCAACAAAATTNAGCAGTCTGCAGTAAAAGCGGTACTCCCCTCGCCATGGTGCATGAGGCTGGAGCAGCGCTTCAGGTGCCACCAATTGTTGCATGCGTTGCATCTTACTGATGTAGTATTACGCCTCACCAGGTTCGTGCAGGCGCTACAGAATCATCTGCTTTGGGTGGATGTCCGGCGTTACGTACTGGGAGTTGGTCCACTGGCTGATGGTTGGACGGACGTTGTTATGTGGAGTGTTGATGCAACAAAATTAGCCAGTTAACCAGTTATTGCAGTTGTTGCAACGGTCATGTGAACGAGTGGTGAATTTTTATGTGGCAGACTTGCCGGTGGGTCATGCTTCCAATGCGAAAAAATGGGGGGTTGCTGCTCGGGTGATGGTCCTTTGTCGTAGTGGCTGCTCCGAGTCAATCGGGTAACGTAGAACCGACCATTTTGAAAGTCGTAGGTTGTTATTGTTGTTGTTGTTGTTGTAGTTGCGGCTACTTAGCCCTGTCTGGAATTAACTATCGGCAGGTTCACGAAACGTGCTGTTTCGACGGAAGTGATAGTTGGGTTGGATTGAGTGGGCATGTGAAGAGGTGGTTGGTCTCATGTGGGTAACCTTCACATGGCGGACATACATCGTCGGGGTCTTGTCTGGAAAAACTCCTGGTTTAACCCACTATAATATCCAGGGCTCGAATCGGCCACATACGATATCGCACTACTCATCACGTAAAAACACATTTTTCGGATTATGACATACGTGAACGTACTCTTTGTCCCATTCAGCTTATACTGCCGATCCGGGAACGGATGTTACGATTCGAGCCCAGACCGTATTTACGTCAGAGTATGCACTCTTAGTACCTAACCTGTACTATTAATTTAAAAGTGGAATGGTGGATAGTACTTCAGGCCGATCTTACGATTTTTGCATGGTTACCCCCCTCTAAGTTTGTCCCCAAGGGTGTTGCTGGTATACGTGTAGTTTTCTTGATCGGCGCTTATGTATTTTTGTAGGCTTGTTCTAGTGAGATTGCTCGATTGGTTTATGAAGGTCAACTAGCTCGCGATCACGTAAGTAGACCCACACAATAAGTCGACCCAGAAAGTTTAGAAGTATTAGCTAACAAAAGAATGAAGAGCTAACCTTAGGAACTATAAAGTTGTATTATAATGTGAGCAATAGTATATACTTACCTGCGTGTCGTACACAAGAATAAATAATGCACGCTCTTTATGTGTAGTTGCAGTTAGTTTCTAATTGCCTACAAATTTACGGTTTATTAAGTTTTCTTGTTTAATTTAGACTTTTCCTTTAGACTTTGAATGATGATTTTTGTGGTAGTTTTTATTATGATTTTTAGGCGTTTGTTTCATGAGTTTGCTTTTGGTAATATTATAATTATGTATGAGTACTTTGTGTACGAGGAGAAGAGTACGTGGACATAGTAGTAAGATCAATATCTACGTGGTTACATTTAAGTTACAGCTCTTTTTAAAAGTATTTCGATTTTTTTTAGTTTCTCTTTAACAGTACATATTACTTTTATAGATAAATTTCTGGAGGTATTTTCAATTTAATACAATATATATTTTTTCATTTTATTATTTTTGGATGTGTATGTAGTTGTTAAATTTAATATTTACGGTTTAAAATATATAATATATATGTGTACATATGTATGTATGTGTTTGTTATATATATTTATATATGTATATGCGAATAATTGAAGCATTAGTTACATTACAATAGAAATTTAGGATTTTTTTTGTTTTTTTTTTGCTTGTAGTAGGTTTTAAAGCAAACTCGCGCTTACTACATACAAGTATTTAGAGAAATTTCAATTATTATGTTGTACGCATGTATATGTTTTTTTTTTTTAACTAATAGTATTTATTTTGTTAATGCTATCTCTATTGTATGAGGGCTTTTAGTTCTTTTATAAAAATTATATTAATTCTAACGCTTATGTTTAACAAACGCTTAGATAACGGGTTTTGATTTTTATTTTGCAATCAAAATTTCTTTTTATACGTTTAACAAACAACAGGTGAAATGAAAAAATAGAACCTTGGAAAACGATAAAGGAAAATTTTACTTTTAATGTGTATGTATTTAGTTCAATAACAAATGAAATAATAATTTTCAAATTTTTGCAAAATCTCATACAATTTTAGGTATTAACATACATACATTTTAATGCCATTTTCAACCAAAAAATAAGTAACAAACAAAAGAGTCTAGTTAAATCGAACACTTTTACGCTGCACCGACATTTAATATGTAGGCAAGTAACACCTTTTAGCATATAACCAATTCTAACTTTTACTTAATTCAATACAAATACATATATAAAACAAAACAGAAAATATATACGGGTTTATGTATATGGATAAATTAGACAAGCTGTAACGCAACGGTGGAGAAAAAGAATGCGCACGGAAGTAGTAAGAATCTGCACATTCTTAAGGCAACATATTTAGTTGGTTTTTAACGGTAACTAACTTTTGAACACAATATCTTGAATATACAACATTCTGTTGCGCCATCAGCAACTTGTCTCTTTCACCCACTCTATTAACATTACTTGAAAAAAAGATACAAATGTACTACTAATTATAAAGGAAATTAAAAGTACCACTATTCAAATTACTTCCGTTGCACGCCCGTTGCGTGCGATGGTGGGGGACATTTAAGGCAGGCACACGCCCAAACGCGCTCATGGCGCTTTGATACGATTTTATTTGCTTTGTGATTATTACAATCGGAACTGACGCCATGGCGGTCAGCGCGGCAAATACGAGTATAAATCACAATCAAATTTATTTGTATATGTATAGGTTTGCGTAACTTATCCGACATTTTTTTGTGCCATTTCTAAATGGTGGCTTTTTGTAAAAAGAGGAGCTATCAGCGTGTTGAGTGTTTGCGTTTGTTTGATTTCGATAACATTCTATACATTCTACACACACAATACATATAATTTTCTTTTTAGCCATCGAACAAATGACCGAATTAATGTATGTATGCACACATCGCACGTCGAATAATATGACGAAGTATTACAAAATTTCTAAGTTTTATCAATTCATACAGTCAGTATACAAACAGACAGATTGAAAGACACATTACTTGCACTATATTTGGGAAGTGTTATCTGTTAGACTGAACATATTCTGCTTATCAAGCATTTAAATTGTATAATGAAATCTCCGAAAACGTAAATTTTGAGTTACATCTCTATATTATTGAGCGTGCGACATATGCATTTGTGTTTTAGTATTACGCAATTTCATAATTTTTATTTAATTTCTGTAGCCCTTCTTAGCAATGCCCACTTCATATTAGATATAATTTACTGTACTATCGAATTGTTTGAAAGCATTTGTATATTTGTTACTTTACTCTTTATCTCTCCTAATCGAAAAAAGTTCGTTGCATTGTTTTCCTATATATTCGCTTCAGTTTTTTTAAGTTTAAGCCAGATTTAGCCCTCCTTGCCTGCTATCCTAATTTTGTATTTTAATTAGTTTTTGCATTTGCTTTGCGGTACCATTTTTCAGTTGGTTTGGTTTTTATCTGTGTTATTTTTTGTTTTTTTTTTTGGTAATGTTTTGAAAATTTAATGTAGGTATACTTTAGAACGATTTTACATCAGCTAATAGAATATCATTGCTTGATTAATTTTTCTGGTTTTTCACTTGATATCTTTTATATAGGTTCTTCTTTCGAAGTTCACTCAATACACGATCATGTAATTATTGAATAAATTTGCAATATTGCAGTATTTGCCGTTTTATTTTTTTTTTACTCCTCAGAGAAATCAGTATCGTCACTATCATCGCTTGTGCCAGAAAGAAAGTCTAACCAGTGGTAGTCTCGTTGTTCAACAAACTCCCACAAGTAGATCTGTAATAAAAAAAAACAACAAACTCATCAGTTATATGTAGTTATGGCTTTAAATATGAAGTAGAACTTAATATGAACTTACATCCAGTAAATCAATGAAATCATTTGAACCACGATGTAATTTACGTGCGCGTTTGGGTAAACCCACATCGACCAAGTCTCCATTGGGGAGAGCATGTTTGTAGAAACATTTGTTGCCAAATGGACACTTGCCATCCCCCTATTTGTGAAAATTAATTTAATTAAAGTGCTAATAATACACAAAATATTCTGAATACCTACCTTCTTAAAGTATTTACAGTCTTTAACACCAAGCGCTACCCGATAATCATTGAGCAGCTTATCCTTTTCTTCCTTAGTTTCCACCCAAAAGGCACTGGGGCAAACAAAATCTGAAGAAACGCGGCACTCAGGGCACGAGCTGTAATTGTAAGATAAATTTCTTAAATTGCTTCCCATATTAACAAAACCTTCATTTCTAATGTGTTGGCAAAGAATTATTCATAAACAAGTTACTTTTAGATCCAAAAAATTGTTGATCGTTTACATATCGCTAGCTTAGAGTGAGAAGTTGCTAAGTCCTATTTTAAAAAAATTTCAGGAAGAGGAGAAAACTGCATATAGCCATTTTGTTCAAGTACCTATTTCGCAAAACTTTGAATACAACGTTTTGGCAAAACTCCATATGAATCAGAGGGATTCGATCTTTATTAAAAGATTTCGAACAATATTTCCTTATCGGAATGAAAAAAAATAAAACAAGTACCTTTATCCTTTTCGAAAAAAGAATTTTTAAGTTATTTAGCTTCCTGTATAAAAATATGAGTTTTCATGAAATTTGGACTTAGCAATTTTTTATAGGATGTCATAATTAAAAACAAATAAAATGTTTACCGTGTAATTTTGTGTTCAAACTGCTTTGCTTGTCGCCACTTTCGGATACATTCCAGACAGAAAATGTGATTACAATTAGGCAATATACCGAAGCGTTTCTCGCGCCCAGCTTTCTCCATTATGGTGTCGAAGCAAATACCGCAAGTTTTATCCTTAGAACGGGCAATAGCGAACGACCATTCCATAGCTTGTTCATGTTGCTGTAGACATTCTTGATTATGTTTTCGACGTTGCGTTTGATCGCTGGGATGTAAGCAGAATTGGTCGCACATTTTGCAAAGCTCCATGTGTACGCCATATGCACAATATGCACCGTAGGGACAGGGGCCTTCATACGGGCATACCATTTCCAGCATGGCTTCAGCATCGGCTCCTTCAACAATGCTCATACGTGATGCCCCATGAGCACCACCGACCACATCGGCCCAAGATTTTTGAGCATCTGCGTTCATTGGACACAAGGCAGCTGCACCATGGTTCGTCAGGTCATCAGCATTGGTTTCTGAATTGTGAGTTGGTCTGTAGTTTTTCGGCACAAACACTGGTGCATTTGCCCAATTCTGTCGACTTGTACTTGGTCGACTGTTCAGGGATTCTGCTCCAGTTTTACCATTAGTTTTTGAAGAAGTGGTAGGGGTAGTGGATTCAGATGCAATGCCGCTAGCATTGATGCCTTCACCTCCAGATAGATCGTGAGAAAAGCGACATAAGCTCCCAAAACGACATATTCCCCGTTGAAAATACCGACAAATGGCAGCATTCACTGCCATATTGGTTTGGGTCCTAGGCACTGCGGTTGCACCTTCATCGACGGCAAGGTTGGACATCATGTTAGGCAACGCAGCAGCACCACCACCACCTCCAACTAATGGGACAAAAGTAGCTGAAGCGCTCATCCTTATCGAATTATGTACTTGTATGCTTGTCCTTTTCAAAAAACGTGCTCAGTTCAATAAACTACTTAGACAGGGTTGTTGCGAGTTCTTCTCCTGCCTCAACGTGTTTTCAATTGAGGGTTTGAATAGCGCTAACTAAATTAACAAGCTGTTCACGCACACGTCTGAGGCAAATGAACTCTCAATTGATTTTGTGAAACAACTCCAACTCTTTGTTAATTTTGCTTCAGCTTGTACCCTGTGCTCTGTACAAAACCAAGCTTCTGCCGAAAACGCCAAACTTCGTTTTTTTTGCCACTGCTTATGTATGTCCCTTTGTCGTCTATGAAGCAGATAGCCCCAATATGGCTTTGTCTTTGCTTTCTTAAGTTACTCTCCGTCTACCTGCAAAACAAAAGACCGGCCAAACATTAGTGCTGCAACGGTCAGAACTCCTAGTAGGGTGGTTTTAATGAATTGTAAATTTTTGCACCTTTACCAAGTTTGAGGTTTTATTTGAACTCATTACGTTAATAGCTCTATAAAATAAGTACTAAATTTATTTAAGTTTAATATTTCCAAATTATGCAAAAAGCTATGGTTAAATTACAGCACCGAGATGAAATCAAATATTTCATCAGCTTGTTGAAGCGCACCCTTGAATAATTGCCCCAGCTGTCACTTGTACAGTGCTGCCAAACTAAAAGTGACAGCAAGGTAGCAAGCAATACAGTCCGCAGTCTGATAGGCAATACACATTTGGCCAATTGGCCATGAAAAACGTATTTTGACAATGAACAAAACAAATAATGTAGAAACTTTTGCTAAAATTTAGTCGGGACTGAAATGGAATTTATTTTTTCCACACCAAGTATAATGGTAAAACTTTTTTTGTGTACACTTGTAATTGCAACACAATTTTAAACCCACTTCATTTAATTTTTATACATGACTCTATTACATCAGTTTATTGTTAACAGCATATTTCGCCAAAATGAACTGACCAAGT